TCGGTGAACTTCCCTCTAGTGTACATGGTCTCAAAACTTGTCTTTTACTCTCCATCTGCACTTGGGTGAGAATCGGAGCATCCCATGTTGTGCCGCTATGACCCCCCGTAGTGTAGTGAGTCTCAAAACTTGTCTTTTGCTCTCCATCTGCGCTTGGGTGAAAATCGGAGCATCCCATGTTGTGCCGCTATGTTCCTCCCTACTGTAGAGTACTCAAACCTTGCCATTTGGCTGTAATTAGTGTGCATGTATGTGTATGTGTGTGTATGTGTATGTGTGTGTATGCATGTGTAATGTGTGTATATGTGTGTGCTGCAGTCCCGGTGGTTCAGTTCAGTCCCTTCACACTGTTGCTGCAGCCGGTGACTTGTGTTGTGTATATGAGTGTGCTGCAGTCCCGGCAGTTCATTTCAGTCTCGTCCAGCTGTCTGCTGCAACCGGTGACTAGTGATGTGTGTATATGGGTGTGCTGCAGTCCTGGCAGTTCAGTTCTATCCCTCCCCGCAGTTCGCGGCAGCCGGGGACTTGTGCAGTTCAGTTCAAGTTCATTTCCACTGTTTGCTGCGACCGGGGACTTGTGCATGTATGTGTGCTGCAGTCCCGGTAGTTCAATTCAAGTTCCTTCCCACTGTTTGCTGCAACAGGTGACTTGTGATGTGTGTACATGCTTGTGCTGCAGTCCCAGTAGCTCAGTTCAGCCCCTTCCCACTGTTTGCTGCAACCGGTGACTTGTGTTTTGTGTATGTATGGGTGTTGCAGTCCCGGTAGTCCAGTCCAGTCCCTTCCCACAGTTTGCTGCAACCGGTGGCTCGTGATGTCTGTATGTGTCTGTGATGCACTCCCGGTGGCTCAGTTCAGTCCCTTCCCGCTGTTTGTTGCAACTAGTGACTAGTAATGTGTGTGTAGGTGCGTGCTGCAGTCCCGGTAGTTCAAGTTCCTTCCCACTGTTTGCTGCAACAGGTGACTTGTGATGTGTGTACATGTGTGTGCTGCAGTCCTGGTAGTTCAGTTCCGCCCCTTCCCACTGTTTGCTGCAGCCGGTGACTTGTGTTGTGTATGTGTATGTGTGCTGCAGTCCTGGTAGTCCAGTTCAGTCCCTTTCCGCTGTTTGCTGCAACCAGTGACTAGTAATGTGTGTATATGTGTGTGCTGCAGTCCCGGTGGCCCAGTTCAGTCCCTTCCCGTTGTTTGCTGTAACCGGTGACTCGTGATGTGTGTATGTGTGTGTGCTGCTGTCCCGATAGTCCAGTTTAGTCCCTTTCCATTGTTGCTGCAACCGGTGACTTGTGTTGTGTATGTGTGTGTGTGCTGCAGTCCTGGAAGTCCAGTTCGGTCCCTTCCCACTGTCTACTGCAACCAGTGACTTGTGATGTGTGTATGTGTGTGTGCTGCAGTCCCGGTGGTTCAGTTCAGTCCCTTCCCACAGTTTACTACAACCAGTGACTTGTGATATGTGTATGTGTGTGTGATGCAGTCCCGATGGTTCAGTTCAGTCCGTTTCCACTGTTTGCTGCAACCAGCGACTAGTGATGTGTGTATATGTGTGTGCTGCAGTTCCGGTAGTCCAGTTCAGTCTCTTTCCATTGTTTGCTGCATCCGGTGACATGTGATGTGTGCATGTGTGTGTGCTGCAGTCCCGGTGGTTCGGTTCAGTTCCTTTCCACTGTTTGCTGCAACCAGCGACTCGGGATGTGTGAATGTGTGTGTGCTGCAGTCCCGATAGTTCGGTTCAGCTTACCCCCACGTTAGTTGTGACCGGTGCTTTTCAAAGTGATGTATGGAGGGTGCGCTTTGGTTCCGGGACTAAGGGCCGTGGCCGGCGGTGAGCCGAACGCTAGGTTAGGGGGCAACACGGGCTAAGGATCGCCTCGCACCTACCCTCCCTTCATCTCCGTCCACCTTAGCCGACCACCCCAACCCTTCTTCCACCTCCATCACCTACACCCATCCACCATAGCCAGCCACCTCAATCCTTCTTCTTCCTCCCTCACCTACACCCATCCGCCATAGCCGACCACCTCAACCCTTCTTCCACCTCCGCCACCTACACCCATCCACCATAGCCGACCGCCTCAACCCTTCTCCCACCTCCGTCACCTACACCCATCCACCATAGCCGACCGCCCCAACCCTTCTTCCACCTCCATCACCTACACCCATCCACCATAGCCAGCCACCTCAATCCTTTTTCTTCCTCCCTCACGTACACTCATCCACCATAGCCAACGACCTCAACCCTTCCCCCACCTCCGTCACCTACACCCATCCGCCATAGTCGATCATCTCAACCCTTCTTCCACCTCCGTCACCTACACCCATCCACCATGGCCAACCATCCCAACCCTTCTTCCACCTCCATCACCTACATCCATCCGCCACAAGCCGGCCACCTCAACCCTTCCTCACTTATCACCTCCCTAATCCACTTGAGGGCCATAGGGGCCGCAAGGAGCACGCGAAGTCTCGGATAAGGCCGGTTAAAAAGGGTCAAGGGTCAAGGGCGATTAGGGTGTGGGGCCTCTCGTGTCCTCTCTCTGGCGATTCCTCTCTTCCTCCTTTCCTCTCTCTCTCCTCTCTCTCTCTCCCTCTCTCTCCCTCTCTCTCTCTCTCTCTCTCTCTCTCTCTCTCTCTCTCTCTCTCTCTCTCTCTCCCCTCCCTCCTTTTCCCAAGACCTTTGACTCCTAAGCTCTCCCTTCTCCCCCTCCCCTCCATGGCACGTGGCTAACCCCTACCCTCACCTGTTACATTGTCAGGGAACGAATGACAAAGAACTTGAGCCTCACTTGGTGGAAAGCGAGGGCAAGGGGAGGGTTGCCGGTCCCTTGTGCCACCAAGAAGGAGAAAGTACCGGACTTTTGTGAGCACCTAGAAAGGCGGAAAAGAGTGAAGTTTTGTGGCAAGGTCAGTTTGACTCAACCATCCTCCCCGACTGCATGACTAAGTGAAAGGGTATGGTTTGGCTGAGGGAAGGAAGGAAGAGTATAAGGAACCCACCAAGGAAGAATGGAACTTAGGCTTGCGGGAAGGGATATTGTGTTGACCCCAACGGGGATTGTATTTGCCCTTTGCTTTGTCTGATCTTGCGCAGGTGAGTAGCTAGGAGGGATTGAATGGGACTGGACCCGTGGGATGCGGTCGGAACGGGGAATGGACCAGGGAAGGATATAAACCTAGACCAAACCATGAATGTGGGATAGGATCGAGGGTTGGATGTTGGGATGGCGGGATGCGACTTGCATGATGACTGAGTGAGATGATTCTCTTGCGTGCAATGCCAAAGCCCGGAAAGACTAAGGGCGGCCATGGATAGGCGAACGCGATGCTAGCATCTCAAGCAAAAAAAATTATAGGGGCTAGGGGCTGGGCGGCGACATCGCACCCCGAGGATGCCTTAGGAACTGTCTTGTCTATTACACTTAGTGAAAAGGGTGTGTGGCCCAATGGATGACGCTTGGCCTACACACGGAAAGAAGATGAACTCTCAACAAACTCCCTGAACTGCCTACGTATTGGAAGGAGCAATTGCCTGGCCACATAAAAGAGAATCGAGAAAACGTCACGAATGCCCGGAAAGTTACCATCTAGCACGAGAGCGAAGCTACATCCCCCAATGTAAAGCCCTCTCGCAAAACGCGGCCTATCCCCATCCATTCCATAGCACTAGGTGAGGGGTCCCCCGGACGAACGGCCCGCGCCCTGAGAATGAGCGTGGGCGGGCCGAGCCAAATGGGACCCGCAGTGGGGTCGACATAGGCTCGAAAGTCTATCAGGGGTAGGCCCTACACCGTGCTTCAGTGATACCTTATAGAACTCCTCTGCCAACCAGGCACAATCTACGTGGATCCGCTCCATAGAGTCGGCCACCCTTGTGACATGGTCGAAACCCTCAAACCAATCCACCACGAACTCAGACACCCACACTGTCATTCGCATTCACGGAGGGTCGAGTTCCTTTCATCCCCCTATCATGACCCGACTACGGACCTCGTCCCATCCCTCATTGGCAAACCTCTCACCTTCCGCATTCCCAAAAAGCCACATCGGGTCCTGGCCTGCCGCTAACGTGGTGCAAAATAGATGCCACCCCTTCTCGGAAAGCACCAGCGTCCCAACAGATTCCACCTTTCCTTCCGCAATCTCGTCGCAGCCTTCCTCTTCCCTTCTCGGGTTCCAGATCCTCTCGATCCGTAGGTACGATAATTCCAGGGCAATCTCGAATCCGTTCCAATCACACGTGGTCCCTCTCCATTCGTTTTTCGTTGGTACCGACATTTCTACCCCCCCTCGGAGTCGTTTTGGCTACCATCCTTTGAAAGGGTAATCCATCAACACCTGCTCCTTAGCCGTTATTCCTTCCTGCAGAGTGTCGGCCACTCATTCCCCTTGAATAAGTTTCTGCCTCAAAAGTCTCACTCCCCTATCTCATCCCATTCATCATCATCGCTGAAATCATCTTCTCCGTCATAAAACAATTCCTTCAACCCATCTAGGAAGGTCTCCCCCACTGCCACATTCCTATAAACTATTCTCCAATGCACCGGGCTAGGCATATAGACGTCATTTATACTAAAGCAATTCAACATCTCGGTTAGCTCCCTCGCCCAATTTCCTTCAAAAGGCCTCATTTCCACCGACAACCGGACGAAATCCTGCCTGGCGCACTGGTACAACCCAAGGTTCCTCATGAACTGACATATTTGCACCAACCTGCTCCGGGTCCCGAAGACCGCATCCACCAGGAAGGGGGGTAGCACACACCTCGTTGTTCTGCGGGTTGGTCTACTTGTCCCAAGATGAGGAAAATGCGATGGTCATAGATTTGGTACTGGGGACTGCTCCGGACGAGCTGTTTAGACAAGCTGAATGAAAAATAGTATGGGCAGCCTGCCAGTGGGCGAAAATGGAAATGGAAAAGGTGGATGTGTGAGTGGAACTCAGGGATAGGGGGAGAGTTCGCGGATGATGTTCATCTCCGCCCCCGTATCCAGCATTGCTGCGCACTTTGAGCCCTTCGCTACCAGATCCACCATGCCACAGGCCACACATTTCCAATCCATCTTTGTCCCTGTCTCGGCCTATTCTGCTTCCTTCGGCAAAATCACACTCAAATAGACACTGGGCACGAAACGCCGCGACAACCTCCTCTTCAGTCCATCGCGGAGCTTGGGGGCCGACGCTAGAATCTCTTTAAGGGTCATAAGGTCATTATGACCTTCCAACAACCTGTCAATCACCTTCTCAACATCGAACCCCTCCTCCAGTCGAACCGCATACTTCTTCTTCCTCGGCGCCACATCACGCATAATTGGCTCGGTGTCCTCCTGGGCTCCTCTGTTCCTGGCTCTTTGCTCCGCTTTCTGATCCTCCTCCTGGCGCAACCTCTCGTCCTTCTCGTTTTCTTCATCGTCGTCCTCCAACTCCACGACTTCCTTCCTTCTTTCCGGCTCTGGCTCTTGTCGTGGAGGCTCCTGGCTGGCACCGGCCCTAGCCTGGCCTCTAGTACGAGCCGCCTGCGCCATCCTCCCCTCCGCCGTCAGAGGCCTAACCATCATTCCCGACCGTGGGCTTGATCCCTTCCCGACATCGATTTGAGACCGGAGTCACAAAGGAAGACATTTGCGGCCCCAGCGCTCCAATCCTTTACCTCCTCACAAATATCTACCAGCTTTCGCTTGTACCTCCCCACCTTTTCCCATAAGTCCTCCATCTTTCCAATGAGGACTGACGTCGGTGTCGGGCGGCCGAACCCCAGTCGGCCACCCGAAATTCGGCTAATTGGACTTTAGACTAAATGATTAAAGGGAAATTGGCGAGGAGTTTCGTCTGACTCATCGGGAAAAATTAGGGGTCGGAAAGAGACCCCTAATTTTCCCCACCACGAGCGTTGAGGCTGACCCTTGAAAACGACGAAACAGATGACCGCGCCTGCCGCGTCTCGGACCCGCCGTTTTCGTCCGTTCCGAGGCAATTCCCGAAGCGGCTAACCGCGGAACGGCCGTATGGGACTAAGGCTCGACGCGCCGCTTTTACACTCGGTATTTAACGAGGAATTGGACCCTCTATTTTCATTAATTTTAATAGCAAAAGTAAAACTGAGGAAAATAATTAAAAATAATAAAAAGGAGGAAAATGACGAATTAATTGCTATTTGATTAAGTTTTATCGGAATTCTTCCTTGACAAAACGATTCCCTATTTTCTTTAATTCTAATAGTAGAATTAATAAGTCCGCGAAAGAAATGAAAGTAATAAAAGAAGAGGAAACAAATGATTAATTGTTATTTGATTCATTTTTATTAGAATTTATTTTTGATGAAAATATACCCCGTGATCGATGATCTGTGCGAGATTCCGGTAATGATGAAGTCATGCGTGAGTTTGCCTGATTGATCTGATTACTGCCCTTTGCATTAACCCGGGTGTATTGAGTGTGTGGGACCGATTTCGGGGAACGTCGACACGACTGATTTGGCGCAGCTACCGATGCTACTAAGAGACGGGTCACGCGACCCTATTACGGTGGTGCGGACGCTGGTTCCGACTGAACACGAGACGCTGGTCTGGGACTAGTACGGTGCGGTCACCCGTTTGGTATCGGGATAGTTCATTTGCGGCACGGTACGGTATTCTGTATTGGTATAGTATGACTGTTGGATCAGAACAGGCTGGTATACTGGTTCGGGACAGGTATGGCACTGACACGGTATTTGTGCAACGGTACGGTATTCCGCATTAGTATGGTACGGTTGCTGGCCTGAACCGGGCATGAGACATTGGTCCGGACCCGGAACGGGACCAGCATGGTATTTGCGGTGTCACACGGTATTCGGGGGAACGGTACAGGACGTTGCAGTTCGACGTTACTGCTGGTACGACCACATACACGACACCATCTACCCGGTCACGATAAATGGTACTGCACCTAGCCAGTATCACTGAATTATAGTTACAGCCTCAAGGCCTGTGGTATGAGTTTCTCGGTACTGGGACTGGTTCGCAGAAACTGCGCGCCCTGCTGCTGGTACCGCTGGGTTTTCTTGGGCTGCATCGGTAGGCCGCCTTGGTTTCAATGCCTGTAGCCTTCGTGTCGCCACGAGTTCAGATTTAGTAGGTTGGGTAGCCTTTGCAGTATTTTTGTCCATTTTTGTTTTTTTTGAGAGATCTATCATCAAAAGCTCCGTAAAAAAAAAAGAGAATTCATAATGGCTTTAAGTCCACTAGTGTTATGACCCGGACCAATTGCGAAGTACAAATTCACCAATCAGCACAATGTTCACCAACTGCAAAAGGAAATGAATGAACTTGAGAGGATGGAGAGGATAAGAAGAAGAAGAAGAAGTAGAAAAGATTGGAAAAGACAATGTACACCAGCAAGAACCAATGTCAAAGCTCTTCTTCTTCGCTCAACTCCCTTGCATCTTATCTCCCCCTCCTCTTTATAAATTCAAACAATAAATAATACAACAATGTTGGAATGAAGGTCCAGTATCACTGCCCAAGTCTCTCTTCTACAGCTGGACCTGTCTCTTATACACATCTAGATGTGTATAAGAGACAGTTCCTAGGCCGAGGCTATGGCGGACTGCAGAGTACAACCACGATGCCCAAAGGACTTCCCAAATGATTTATGGCTGTCCCCCTAAGTGCCGACATGCCCCAAGATGCTTCGGAGATGCTTGGAGTAGCTCCCTCCCTCGGAGGGCCTTCTTACTGCTGCTCCAAGGTGTAGGAGATGGCTGCCACCATAGCCGGTAAGTACCTCGGCTCCTTCTCTCTCCCCCCTTCTTCTTCCTCCTTCTTCTTCTTCTTCCTCCTTCTTCTTCTTCTTCCTCCTTCTTCTTCTTCTTCTTCCTCCTTCTTCTTCTTCCTCCTCCGCTGTCCTTCTCCTTCCCTAGCCAAGCGCGGCTTGCTGCTTGCTAGCGCAGCTCTCCAGCGCTGCTCCCAGCCGCTGCTCCAAATGCCGTGCTCCAAACTTGTGCGCCCAGCAAATGAGGCGGAGCCTCTGGCTCTGCCTGGATATGTACCGCACCGCGTGACTCTTCGGCTGTGCCTCTTGGCCTACCGGCCTCCCCACACTCCGGAGACTTCCCCTGCCGAGAGGCGGGAACATCATTGCAGATTCTGAAGTACCCCCGACAGGCCCTGGACTCCTACTAGTACCCCCCAGCCTACCGGACTGCTAAAAGTGCCAACTTTGTCTTTTTCTGCCCGACTTTCAAGTGCTTCAAGTTTCGGCCTTCTGGCCCTCAAGTACCCCATTTTGGACTTACCGGCCTACTCAAGTGTTTTTCCGCTACCCACCGAGGGCCGCAGGGCCGCTATCGTCGCCACCTGAGTGTTTCCTGGCTGCAACCCTCAAATGCCACGCCACCGGTAAGTACCGGCCCTACCGGTCCTGCCCCCACATCCACGACCCCGACGGGGCCACACACACACTCAAGTCACTTAGACAGGCACGCAGCACACTCACACAGGTCAGCCAGCATTCAGACAGACATGCAGTCCAGCACACACACACACAAGCAGACTTAGCAGGCGGGGGAACTTAGTATGGCATGCATTCCACGGCAAGACTCAGAAATCGGCTGTCTGTTTCAGTCCGTGTGATGACAGGTCATAACACTAGAACAATTTGCTATTATTCCACTGATTCCTTTTCACTAGACGCGTTCGGTTAGGAAAGAGACAGCGTTGTGTTGAAATATCCGGAAATCCATACTGATTAGGCGCTAGCTTCGCGCCTTCGTGGGATCCTGGCTCTTGCGCCTTCGGCCTTCCATACTCGAAAATGCATACCATGATTTTTTTGACGATCAAATACAGTATGCATAGCACGGTGAATATGAAGCAATAAACTATTGCAGCAACACCAAGGAGCACCAGTGGAAACTTCTCTTTGAGCTAATAGATGAAAAAGCACAGGTGCTCCAGATGGAAGTAGAATAAGAGTATTTAGAAAGGGGATGTTTTGAATTAAAGGCAACCAACCGTCAGGCGGCGAGCCTCCTGAGGCTCGCTAGAGGCCTTCGTTGGCTGCTTCAACATCTACCGACTTCGTACCCTTTGGAAATCAATTAAATTATGCGCGTAGTGGACGGTGATAACAGTGCCCATAAGAGAGGGAAGGGTAAATCAAACGAGAATGAGTGTATATTCATCTCTAATTGTGCTCACCTGATTGAGAAAGTAACGAGGAGCGTTCAAGTTTGAGCAACCAAACTGGTTGGGAGCAGTGTTCAAGCGCAGAGGCAAGTGATGAAGTGAGCGGGAGGGTTAATGTGAGAGTGTGGAAGAGTTAGTAGGAGACAGTAAGGAAGTCAGTGAGAGGGAAAGAAAAAGCCAGTGAGAGAGATGTTGCTTCTTATTTTCATTCTCTAACTAGGTGTATCTGTCGCTGATTGCGCCTAGGTACATTCAAAAATTTGATCCAGCCAGCTGGCTCCCAGGGCAGGAGTGACAGCGCAGGTAAGTAATGGTGTGAGCATGAGAGATAGAGAGTGAGAGAGAGGAAGAGTGAGAGGGGAGAGAGAAAGTGGGAGGACGAATGTGAGGGAGCTTGGGCGAATAAGCAGTGGATGGAGAGTAAGATGAACGGGTGTGTGTGAGAAGGAGAGAGGTACGGGAGTGAGAGGGGGAGAGTGTAGGGGTGTGCCCGTGTTTACGAGCTGTAATGATATCTGGACACGGGCTCAAAGGCAAAAGCGTGGCTGTGCCGTCAGACTGTTTCAACGGGATTTGGCTGTCTTTAGCACACGCACTCATTCACTCTGATCCTTCAACAAATCTTTTACCTCCTGTCATTCACATCAGCCGCTCCTCCCTGTTAATTTCCTGTCAACTACAAGGCATGGTTGGTTTCATAATTTCTGGACTGAAATTTATCCCAAATACAGCTTGGATGACCGTGTGATCTATTCGGGGGAAAAGCAGGAGTGAAAGCCTGCCCGAGCGTGGTAGAGTGAGAAAGGCTGCTCCTGTTAGTGGTTCCCTCCTGAATGCACCTGCCAGCCCGCACATGTCGGATACAGTGTCACTCAATATAGAAGATCTCATGTTCGGGTCTCTTTCTTAGCCTGCTGTGCCTGGCCGCGGGTTCGATGAAGTGCACGTGAGAATGTACTTGTGCAAGGGCGCAGACGATAGAGAGAACGTAGCAGCGCATCTGTTCATGGTCTTGATGAAGATCCATTCTCGATATCTATAATAATAATAAATAGCGGGCGAAGGGGGGGAATTTGTTCGAAGGAGAACCGAAGGGGGAGTGTACTTGCTCCAATAATCCTGATTAGAACGAAAACGAGTGAATGAATGTGGACAAGGACCCGAGAATTCAAGCTAGAGAAAAGGGGCGTTCACGGTTCTCCACTCTGATGCAGGGCTGAATTTGCTCATGGCCAGGACTGCCTATCAAAGAATCCCTCAACTAAGAAGATCAGGTTGTTTTGAGGTGCTCGGGGCCGGAACGAATCGGGACAGTCGGTTGTTCTGCTTAATGTCTCATTGAAATCTTTATTAAACGGGAGTGGGTGAATCTTGACGCTGCCCTTGTCCCGGTTTATG